GCGATATTAACAGCTTTCTTTAGAACCGTCTTGAACCCTTGCTTTTGTTCCTTTGGACTGCTGTATATATTAAGAATGAAAATGCTCTGACGGTTGCTGGTACCCGGCACGATCTCTACCAAGACGTGTTCCAATCGGCCTGCTTCTATCTTGAGGTCATGGGTTACGTGCGTTAGTTTGTTGCATACGAAGGTGCAGACTCCCCTCCCTTCAGTATCCCCTATTACAGGCCGGAATCCAGGCAACGTTGCTTGCGGTGAAAGGGTCTCTTGTAATAATATAATATGAGGCTTTTCTTGGCTGCTCCTGATATACTGCTGCAGGGTTGCCTTCTTTTTAAGGTAACCTCTACAGTTCCATTGCCAGATACGAAATGCTTCACGTAGCGCTGCCATCATGGTTATTACATGGGTGGCCAGAGCCTGATGCTGCACCTGTCGACAGGTTTGGTACCACTAGTATTGGTGGCCGAAGGGGTGAGCTTGGTGCATGAGGAGGCCTTGCTGTGTTGTGCAGATATGCTTCGACCTTTGTAATGCGCAAAGTCATATGCTCTTCCAGTGCCGCCACGCTTGATTGTAGCCTACCCATCTGCTCGCTAAGATTGGCTACTACTTTGCTGAGCGTGTCAAACACCTCTTTCATATCTGACATGGTCGTTTGGTTGGCTTCCACGTGTTCTGCCATGACTGCCCTCTTTTTCGCGGTTCTCGAGTCCCCCACGTTTTCAGCCACAGGGACATCAACTGGCTGAGGCATTGGCTGTGAAGATTGCGCGCTGGTTAGCTTAGTGAGAAGAATTTTATTTCCTTTAACTCAGCTGATAGCCTCTCATTTGATTTTGTAAGTCTCGCGTTTTCTTGCTCTAGCTGTGCAATTCTATCATGCTCTGGCAGCTTACCTGTCATCACCTCTGCCCCGCCGTTGCGCACTCGCTCAGCCCAGCTGCCTTTCGAAGTAACTGCAGGCGTCCTCCCCGGGTGTGAAGCCGTGATCTCGAACTGAACGCCAGGTAGCTGGCCATTCGGGTGCCGCCCAGGCTGATCCCGACCCTGATGGTGACCTTGAGAACTCGAGCGCCCCCGTGATTGGGAGCGGGCCTTGGGTCTAGAACCTCTTCTGGAACGCGACCTCCCCCTGGAGTGGGGCCGCCTTTCCTGTTCTTGTAGTAGTCTGGATGCTCTGGGTCCCGTAGGCTGGAATAAGCTGCTTGTCATTGATGTCTGGACTCGATGTGATTGATGCGTCCCGGGCTTCTGCGGCTGCTCGCGATCTTTCCCAACGTCTGCGTCTGACGACGTATGGCACTAAGAACCTGTTCTTGCACTCCTTGTCTGCCGTGGGATGGTGACCGTCGCACAGCCTGCATCTTGGATTGCACTGGTGCAGGCTATCTGGGTTCTTGATTTCGCAGCCTCTGCAGATTGTTTCAGCTGGGTTCGGACAGACGTCAGCCCGATGTCCCAGCTTTCCGCAGACGTAACAAATATCGATGTTCTTGCGGTAAAGGGAGCACTGCAAAAGTGAAGGTCCATATCTCACGAATCTGGGCACCTTGTGTCCTTCGAACGCTATGATGATTGTCCCGGTGTCCTTGATTCTCTTGGCCTGCAGCGCGAGCGGGTTGTTCGCGTTCACAATCTTTCGGATCAAAATGTCCTGAGTATCGCTTACGGGGATCCTGCGAATCACTCCTTTACAAGTGTCGTGGGGTGCCGCGGCGTACGCGCTAACCTCGAAAACTTTGCCTCCAATGTCATTTGCTTGACCTTGAGGTATCTTGAAGCTCTGTCTTGGTCCGGAGTGCTTGCCACCATAATGTTCTGCTGCAAGTTGGAACAGATGATGTCCTGCATGGCCTCTTCCTCTTCGACGCCGGCCGCCAGTACTATCGCGTCTGCCACGGCTCCAGTGCCAATTCTCGAGATATTTAATCCTCCACGTGGTCGTAGCACAATTTTGCTGAAGTCCTTAGTAGTGGCGGCATGCGTCCAGCTCGCACGATTGTATGCTTGGTGTCATACCTATTACGACTGGCTCGAGCGTCTCCCGCAACGCCGGCCTCGGTCGAACCCTTGGCAGCAGGAACGCTAACCGCGGCTTGCTTATTCCTTGAGCGTCTCGTTTCGGCTTCCTTCCAACCCATTTCTTCCGTGCAATCCTCTGGAGAGATGTCCTCTCCATCTACTTGGTATTCCATTCTCAGTTGCAGATACTGGAACGCGCAGAGCGTTGAGTCGCGTTGGCGCCGGGCCGGCGCATCGGCGACAATCGCCTCCTTGGTTAGGCCTAAATCCCCCGGTGGCGTCGCCGTGTAAAAATGTCCCAAAAAATGGTTTAAAAGTCCACTCACAGGCACAAAGGTGGTATCTGATGATTTTTTAAGAACTTAGGCACACGATGAGAGTAAAAACTCGGCGACAAATTCGTGAATACCACAGGAAAGCATTCTTGAAAGCAGGAGCCGATCTTCGCGCGTCCGCACTGGTCGGCACCTAGAGCGTCTCCTGAAAAACTAATGCCATTCCGCAAAACGTTTGTCAAAATATCATCAAGGCGCATGCGCCCAATAAAAAAAACATAAGCGGATGAAATAACCAAAAAGATTAGTGAAGTGATTTTACCTTATAAGTACCGTTTCTCTGAAATGGCAATGAAGGGGTGGCTAACACTTGTTACGCCGCACCTCCTAATGTGGAATGGTTCGATTAACTCGCGGGTGGTTTTATCGCTATGCTTTTAGTGAACAGTATACAATATAGCACCCCCCAAAAAGATTTGACTTCACTATAAAAGCATAGCAATGAACCACCCGCAAATGGATGGATTGATTTCACAATAATTAAAACTTCGCAGCGTGAGCGTTAACTAAAAGCGAACGGTGAGTTAGTGCCCAATCGGGGTCTTCTGTCTCTCGCTGCTCATTAGCAGTGATGGTCATGTTCCAGTAGTAAACATCGTTCTATCACTACGTGCTTCGCGCCTACTCAGGTTTCTCTCCAGCGCAATCTGCGATGAGTCACAACGTCAACGTCGCCGCCAGAGTAAATGTTAAAGCCTGTTGCTTTCAGCACATTGTTATATTTAGCGGCAGATGGTGCAATAATTTCGCTTAGGTGCTCGTCGCTCGTTTGTACTGCGTCAGTTGTCTCTGGTTGCATAATGCGGCTCGCATGACACTGGCATTCAAGGAGCAGGTGCACCAGGGTTCGGTGCACTGCAAAGCGGGCTATGTACACGTGTTTCGTTCTGTACAGTTTGTGAATGAGTGTTCTATGAGTGTATCTGCTGCTCTAGAGAAGTCTGAATACATGCTTCCTGCTTTTGACGGTTCTGGACATGGTTTAGGGCACACCCGTTGCTCCAGTCGGTAATGTATAGGAGTAGCGACGAATACCTTTCCAGTACATACTTCGTCTCTTCAGCCGTGGGTCGAGTATCCTGTGGGCTCCGAGCAGCCCGGCTGACGGTGCTCGCGGACTCCTTCATTTGCCAGTAGACTTCGCAACGTGGCACTCATATAACGCATGTGTATAGGTATCGTGGGCTTCGCCACTTCAAGATCATAAAAAACAAAATTTGAGGGCATTTGCAGCAGGACTTTCAATGCTAGTCGCTATGAGGGTTTGCTGCCGTTTGATGGAAAAAATAACAAACTGAACAAGTGGCGAATAGTGACTGTCCACTGGCAACGTTTGTGTGCTGGTATTAATTATTCCTGTCTGCAATACTTCGTCATCCATTCATGAATCTTTTCTTGCGTTCCATCACCCCTCTTTCACACTTCAAGACTACAGGGCAAGCAGCATTCGAAATGAATGCCTAAATAAGGTGTCGCCACCGATTTGAGTCTCCGGGTATTCCTCTGTGACCAAGGAAGTTATTGAGGCATTCTACACCACCCATACACACACACACAAAAAGATAACGGCCTTAGCGAAGCATCGATTAGTTAAAGCGATTGTTAAGTGTGATTTTCAGAAAATATGCGGCGACTGATCTTCATTGTAGCACGTGGTACACTATCATGTATAAAAATAATGTGCCTTTAACTAAATAAACTGATCGCGAAGGCAGCGGTGTCCCTTTCATTCCTTGTGTGCTTGCCTCCGTGTGCTGCTTCATAAGTAAACATAAACTATCACCGACTAGCTGAACCTTCAACGTTACTGATCCTCTACAAACATTTAAAAATATTGTTGCCCAGCAGTGTCCGATGACAAGACTATGCAAATGGGCACGTGGATGGACACTAGGTCACTTTGTTCCTGCACTTCTATACAAGCAAATTTTCACTGAACATGACAGTTCACCAATTGCGAATACACAAACACACTGTCTATAAACAACATATAAGTTTACCACGATGCTATAATAGCAAGTCATTAATTATAAATTGCCGGTTATGTGCCGCGCTAGAATGGGAAAATGTATGCTTACAAAAAAAAAAAACTGCTGCCGAACTACGAAACACATATCTGGATAAACTACCTGTTTTTAATTTACTCCTCTCTCTCTCTTGTTTCCGTGACATGTGACATTACGCCCATGCACAAGAGTTATGTGAAACGCTTGCACAGATTTGTGACGCTGCCTAAAGGATCAAATGGCAGTAGCAGGTCACTCGATAAGACGGATGCTGAGGCCTGGTGGTGATTTCGAATCAACGTATTTCCAAAGCGCAAGAAAACGAGTGGTTATAGCGTAACTACAAAAGGAAGACACATGGAGAAGGAGTCAATGATTTTTCTTGTGCTTGTGTCTTCTTTCCGTAGTTACGCAAAAACTGCCCGTTTTCTTGCGCGGTGCAATATGTTGACTTAAGGTCACGGGGGATAACAATAAAGACAGCATGACACTATGCATGATGCCTTCCCTCGTTTCTTCACAGCGTACGTGCAATCTAAAAAAGGGAGCATTCCACAAATGCGTGAAAGCTATTGTATTCAGAGCAACCTGATGCTTCCGCGAGCCGACGACATGATTGAGAGCTTACAAAATGTTATTACACGCATAGTTTTATTATACATAGACTGAGTAATATGTTGAAAAACGCTGCTGTAGCAGAACGATGTCAATTATTGCTGTAAGTTCCAGAGAAAAAAAGGCGTTATTAGATAACTTTTTCGATCTTGAGCCAGATGCCATCCTTAGGCATCGCGAATATGAAAGTGGATTCCAGCTCCAAGTTTTTCTCCTGAAATAATAAACGATGGGCAGATTTAGCAAAACATTCTCTTGTACGAGTTGGTTCATGACATTAGGAAAACAAATTAGCACAAAAAAGGACAAGAATGACATGAGAACACCATGTACTGACACTAAATCACCAGTCCTGTGTTGTCGTGTAGTGCTTGCGTGGTTTTGAAAAGCGAAAACTTGATGATGAAACTACGTCGTTGAAAGCGGGTGCAGATAGGAAAGACGCCCAACATTTATTTCAGTTTGATAAGCATAAAATCTCTCACAAATAGAATTACGCATGTGCAAGAACTAAGAAAAAAACACGTATGCACCCGATCGAGTCTGCCTCTTGGAAACGTGCTGAGCAAATTGAATTATGAAATTATAAAAAGAATATTCGATTCTAACACATTTTAAGTAGTGAAGTGAAGTAAATATGAATGTAGGCATTGAACATGCCTTGTTTTTCTCGGCGATAACGTAAATAGACTAAAACGGGGAAATCTGTGAACATCTCACGCTGATGTCTTCAGGTGCATTGATGTCTTCCGCCTTAAGTGTCTCCGTCTTCAGCCTGCCTCTAACGTTGATAATATCCTTGGCACCCGAGAAGAGAGCAGAGGACCCGCACTGGCTTGGTCCTTTGGTGTTACGGTATTTTTTGTCTAAAGTTCGCGTAGAAGACTGCGCAAGTTAACTCTGTACCTGAATGCTTTCAAATTATACCTATGGATATCGGGCTTCTACTGCCAAATAAAGAAACAAGGATTCATCAGCATGCTAGCAGGTTTATGAACACTGTGACAAAACAGTGCTGTGTCCTGCATGCTTGCTGACACTGGGCCTTGTTTTTTGCTGTTCAGTCACAATGTTCAAGTCAGGGCTTTTGTTAGTCCTGCAAAACTGCAGTGCAAAAATAAAGAGCCACAAAAAGAACACACAAATAAAACGATCAATTTCGGAATTGGAAATGTTTGAGTCTTTGGTAAAGATTAGTTTCAATTGGCAATGTGATGGATAGAAACGTCTCGCCGCAAAAGAAATTTTCAACAGTGAAATCGAACAACTGCCAATGCTTTCTTGTTGGGCCTTCGTGCAAACGTGTTTATGCTATTTTAAAGTTCTCCATATAGGTGAATGTAAAAGTGGGTGTGTGGGTAAACATGCTACTGATTTAGAAACACCGCAAGTGCACTATAGAAGACATAAGAGAGCTCACTTTTGCTGCCTGAAATTAACTTGCGTTGCTAATAATTGTTAAGCGGGATAGACGAAATGACTGTTTTGGTTATTTACCGCCTCAAGTTAACTTGCGTTGCTAATAATATATATTAAGCGTGGTAGGCAAAATGATTGCTTACTACGGATTGAACCTCCTAAGCTGAAAAGCCACGCTTCTCTATGAACATACATGAATTATATTTGGTGGAGACGAAAAGTAAACTTACGCTTCTTTGAAATGCTCAAAACATTATTCAGGGAAGTGCGCACGAACCTTAATATGACGTTCATCCAGAAAAAGCTTGTATTTTGCCAATAATTTCGCCATAGTTAGTTTCATCTCCAGCTGGGCGAATCTCATGCCGACGCAATTGCGGGGGCCCTGACCGAAAGGCTGGTACACCACGGGATCAACAAGGCCTTTATTTTGTGGGCTGAATCTGCAAGACAAGTTGGAACAAAGAAGTAAGACCATGACGGCTGACGTTGATGATGATTGAAACAGAATCGTCTTTAGCCTGATTACGGCTTCTGCTGAGAAAATAAAACATCGTATATAATTCTGCAACTGAGCCAGCCGTGTGCTTGCTATGGCAATATTACCACCGCGAACTCATTGGCTAACCCAAGGCTCTGCCTACGCCTCGCACACTTGCGTTCTCGAGGAGCCCTGTCTCCTCTTTGGCTCAACGCAGATAGGAGACCAGGCAACGAGTCACAGAAAGAAAAACTACGCACATAACGTTAAGAGACCAAGAGAGAGTGAAATAATTGGTCAGTGAACAAGAGTGTCTTAAGAGCAATATATAGAAAAGAGCTGAATACCATTCGAGTCGTAGTGTAGGTAAATACCCGCCAAAATTATTAACCTTTGAGAAAATAAGTTCAAAAGCAACATTCAGTGTTCACAAAACATTATTTGTCAATATCATTGATTGGACGAGTAGGTGACACATGATTGTTTTGAAATGAGAGCGCACTACTTAGACGCGGACAGACAGACAGGGACAAGCGCCTACTACCAACTGAAAATTTATTCAGAATACTATGAATTATATAGTGACAGATGAAACAGTGTCATGGTACATACGATAAGACCGTATCACGACCAAAATAACAAAACCGATAAATTATCTATGTACGTTAGCCCCACGTTACCAACGCCTACTGTGTCTTAGGGTGACTACTTAACTCCTATGGCATCTGCTACTGTCCGAAAACGCTAGCTCCTTATCAGATAAAGCTATAGATAATTTGCTGACGCAAGTCAAGTGTTCACGTGCTACGTATGCTGCTTCAAATATAAGCATTGTGCGCTCCTATTTGTGTGTGTTAAGTACGACTGTGTTATCAAACTGTACTTCACAGCCACATATAGTAACATGCTGGGCCAGAAAACCATCATTGCCGCTGCAAACATTGCACGCACGCAATTTGTCGTTGAGGCATCTTCCAGTTTTCCCAATATAACAGGGACCGCACGAAAGTATGATTATGTAAACAACGTTGCTAATGCAAATGACATAACGGCTTCTGTGCTTTGTTTTGCACAGCTGTTTCTTGTGTCTAGCGGCACATGTCAGCCTAGCCAGCTGGGAAAGCTTGTGTGGCGCAGAGGAAACTACAGGAACTCTCACGCGTTGCCCCACCTTTTTCATGCAGTAGATAACCTGATGCATGAATGGGACAACAGCTATTTTTTCTTTCTTTTTAGTGGTTGCAGTTGGCACGTCCTGCTGCACCATTTCTCTGGCCATGTTTAGCTAGGAATGTAAAAAAAGCGCAAAAATATAGACAAAACGGACATAGGAAGAGATGACATTTTTTGCGCTGTTTTTACATCCCAAGCGTGAACCACCAAGTAGCTCAACTTTCGCTATTATTGCATGTTCAGCTCTCCGTTTTTTGCGGATACTCTCGGCCACGGAAACCAAGACCGCCTCAGGATACCCAGCTGACTTGAGCCTCGCAACCTGATTGTGGAAGCTGGATTCCATTGAATGAACACAAGAACGGTCAATTGCATTAGTGAAACACGTACATACTATGCCTGTTTTGAGAAGTTTGCTCTGAGTTGACGTGTACGGCAGCAGCGGTTTCCCGCACGTGGCTCATATGATCTGCCCAGCAGGTGTGTTCTGCCCTAAACGTAAGCCTAACCTCAAGAAACCTGATGAACCAGTTTTCCGGCATTTCATGGGTCAACACGAATGGATCAAGGCACTTCATAAAGAGCGACAAGAAATCGTTGGCCTGAGACACAGTACCTTACGGATCACACTTCACTATGACGAAAAAATCATCAACAAATCTGAAAACTTTTTTCACTGCAGTGCTCACTGATTCTTGATTAAGCGCTCTGTTCAAAGTCGCCAACACCAAATCGCTCAAAAGTGGGGCCAGACAAAATCCAATCGACACGCCAGTTTTCTGAAGATACACATTGCCATTCCACTCTAGATATGTGGAGCTGAGATACGTGCCCAATAAGTCTAGAAAACTACGCGCACTCATTCCTGTGCTGTTCTGAAATGACAATTCACCAAACTGGTCAATGCATTCTTCAATACAAGTGAGCCAACGCATCGTGACGTAAAGAATAGTAAAGATCTTTTACAGCTATTGATAATGCCCTGAGATTTGTTCAACAATTTTGTTGAAAAAATTTGATAAGTTCATCCGACTTCCTAATTAAAAATGGGTCATTATTGTTGAAACTTTTTAGCTGATCTTGAAAAAACACCCCTACATTCTTTTGCCAGGAAGCAGATTCAGATATTATAACTCTAAAAGGTACATCACGCTTATGTGTCTTAGCTTAAAAAATACATCCAGTGAGAGTTTATCACACTTATCTACGTTTTTCAGTAAACCTAGCAAGTTGAGTTCTCGGCATACTCCTTTGCTCTTGCTTTCACTTTTCACAAATTGATGGCGGTGAAATTATGAAACACAGAACTAACGGTGGACTGCCCTGTTTTGGAAAACTGGCTCTTTAAAAGCACTGCAAAACCTCCCTCTTCATCTGAAGGCACCGCACACAGATCATTGTCGATTAGAAAGTGTATGGTCCGACCTAAAGAAATGTGACTACTGACAGGCTTGCCGCGTTGAAGTATGTCAAGTCCTTCCGAGATGCACCGGCCAGAGTCTTCTTGGGGAACACGAATAAATACACTTCTAACAATGGCTTACAAGTCAGTTGGGTGTCACTTCTTCACGAAGGAGAATTTTGGGTCTATAGGCTTAACGTCCTTTCTCTGTCCTGTCGGATAAAAAGCTAGCGTTTTTGGACAGTACCAGATGCCATAGGAGTCAAGTAATTACTCTAAGGCACAGTAGATGTTGGTAAGGTGGGGCTGACGTGCATATATAATTGATCGGTTTTGCTATTTTGGACCGTGTTTTGGTTTTATCGTATGTGCCATGACAATGTTTCTCTGTCAGTATATATTTCATAGTTTTCCGAATAATCTTTCAGTTGGCAATGAGCGCTTGTCCCTGTCTTTCTGTCCGTGTCTAAGTAGTGCGCTCTCATTTCAATACATTCACAGAACAACGAAGAAGTGCTGTGAATAAATATTTGCTCCTCTATACCTCCAGAAATGTAGGATTCAGAAAAGATATCTCTTCGGTAATCGGACCTCAGCAACATTGCAGGTCTCCAGGCTACACGGGAGAGAGTTGAGTGGGGCAGAAAACAAGTTTGCGCTTAAGACATGTTGCTTGAACTCAAGAAGAAATGGACATTGGCAGCGCATGTAGCAAGATAACCAGTCGGTGTTAAGGGTAACTGACTGAAATTACATATTTGTACACATAATGCAGCGCTCTCATGCTGAAATAGAAACTGAAGCATTCAGAATTATTAAGGCTCCCCATTATTGCTGCCTTTTTGAAATTATGTATGTTTGAAATGCGACAGCAGCAGTGCAGTATGTTTTATTATTTTTATCTTACAAAAAGAAAAGATGACTGAAAATTAAGAGATAGGGGCACAATGTTCGTGCCACAGCTATATTTTAGAATTTGCCACATATGCATTTTGCAGTGGAAAATAACTCTCAACTTGTAGACAACCAATGAGTACCGAAAGTATAATTTGTACAACTCCATGAATACCTGCGCTGTAGGTATAACAGTAGCATAATATCGGTAAGCGATACATGAAACACGTTGCTGTTTCTCATTACGACATAAAACTATATGTGAAAACATGGGACGATAATTTGTTCTGCTTTTTAAATATGATAGTCTTTCTTGGGGACCTTCGACGCAAAAATTTTGGTCTGCTTGTCTGTACATTTGTCTGTTTCCCCACTCTTACCGGCATCGGGTATTTGAAACGGCGGACCCCATCCGCAGCGCTCACCAATGTTGCTCAAGGTTGAGCGTTGTTGCTTGCGCAATTGTCAATTAAAAAGCAATTATTGCGCATGTCTGGGGCACCATAACAACGCGCATATATTCTGCATATGCATCTTTTACTAGAAAACGCATACGTAAGTAACTTTAAGGAACGTAGCACTTATCACGCTTCGCTTACAATGCAACGCTTGCACGGAACGGGGAGAGTTTCCCACGCTTTGCTAAGACGACATGGTGGTGGCACCTACCCGTCGCCTCGCGTTGTACACGTTATCACCTCTAAGACGGGCGCGCACGGCCACGCGCTTTGTTTTCCAAAATAAACAGCCAGATGGCGCTCATCTCTCACGTGTGACGTGACTTGATGCGCTCGTTCGCCTCCGGTGCACGCTCGAGGCACTCTAACGTAGCGCCTCCAGAATACAATTCACCAATTTTCTTGCGCAGAACATCAAATAAATGTTTCGCTCGCTCTCTCCACACGCAAGGCTATCGTCTTTTGACGATATTTGCAGGTTACATGCAGATACGGGGCCAATTTTTTAACTCGCTTTCTCTGGAAGAGTCGAGATTTAAGTGACCACGCCTGCTCCATCTACATAGGTTCTGGCACGCAAAAATCTAATATTTTCCAGAAAACCTCTCACATTACGATACTTACTGGGACCGTGACTTTAGATGAGCATCTGCTGCAAGAGCCGAAAGATTTTTTACAAGTCTTCTTGCTGGACAATTGATTTAATGAGCGTTCATGTTCAACAGCAATGAGTAGATACCTACAAAATGACGTGTTAATCCGTATACTATGGGTTCAACGCGGACATAAATATGTTCATGTGAACGATGTATCGCGAAGGGAAGTCCGGCATCTGAGCCGTTCATCGCAGATGAATTGTGGCATTGGAAATACAATCGAAGGAAGCACTCGAATGGCTACGAATTACGGCAAACAGACAACCTTTGTAAATTTGAGTACGTGTGACACATTAGGGGCTGGCGTTGTGGTAATTTACATGGTAAGAGGAAAGGGAGAAACCTTTCGGGATCGAAGACTTCGGGTTGCTCCCAGAAATTCGGGTCATGACTCAGGTGGTGGTTGGGGATAACGATGCTGGTTCCAGCGGGTATTTTCATACCCTTGTGCACGTATTCACGAGCGCATCTTCTTGTAGTGAACCTGCCGAGCATAGAATCAGCGTAAGTCATTGAATCAACGTCACAAATTGAAAAGTGACGGCAACGGTAGTTGCGTCGGAGATGTCATTGCATAGAAGTTCATTGTGACATGAAACTGGACAGTACAATGTTGCGAGTTTTTGACGGTGAAGCAATTAGAAATGAAACTAGTAAAGTTTGAAGCCCTAATTAGGCAAGTTTGCGACCTGCCATGGTGGTCTAACACTTGTGCTGTTTGGCGGCTGACCAGAAAGTCGAAAGTTCCAATCAAGACGTGGCGATGAAATTTTAGATAGACACGAAACGCTAGAGGCTAATTTACTCTGTGGTGCCATGCACGTCAAAAAAAAAAAAACATTAGGAGGTCAAAATATCAAGAACCCTGTTTATGCTGAGCCTAAGAATATTATATAATGCTTTTGGCACGCAAAACCACGGAAATTATTATTACAGTACTATCGTCATAGCAACTACTGTAGGTCGAGTGTGTGAACGTGATGGACAGATCAATTTCGTTGGCTATTCGTAGATTAATATGTTATCTTAGCGGACATGTTTCCATTCTACATTTACACCCCTGGGGGCACCACGCATGCACAGAGAGAGAGAGAGAGATAAAGATGCAAGGAAAGGCAGGGAGGTTAACCAGACGCACATCCGGTTTGCTACCCTGCACTGGGGAAGAGATAAAGGGGACAAAAGAGGTTGCAGAGAGATGAGAAGGTACACACAATCACGAGCACACTCGGGGAGCACACACAGTCTACAGGCGGTTGCTCAGGTTTGTTGACTTTAGGTAAATTAGCAGTGCTTTAGTTGCTTTCTGCGCAACTGAGGCAGATGCCCAAGGTCCTAGTATCTTCTGCACACAAAATGGTCCGGGGTCAAGTTGATTCGAAACCATCCGGAGCTGGCATCGGTGTGTGTCGTAGCAAGCGCATCTGCACAGGACGTGTTAGATGGTCTCTTCAGCTCCGCAGTAGTCGCATGTAGGAGTGTCTGCCATACCAATGCGGAAGGAGTACACCTTTGTAAATGCAACACCCAACCAAACGCGGCATAACAGTGTCGCATCGGAGCGGGAAAGTTGTGATGGTAGTTTTAGCTTGAGCGAAGGATCCAGTTCATAAAATTGACACCTTTGGAAGCTGGTAGATGACCAGAACGTGCGTGTGAGATCTCGAGCCAGCAGGTAAAGTTGTCTTGCTGCATCATTCCTTGATAGAAGAATCGGGACTACACGGGTTCCTTCATGGGCTGAGCGGGCTGCATCATCGGCTAATTGATTTTCGATAATACCGATATGTCCAGGCAGCAATTGATATATAATATCATGCCCTAGTGCTAGAGCTTCATGATGGCAATGTCTTATTTCTTGTACCAATTGGTCATGACTCCTCCTACGTATGGCAGACTGCAAACTCTGAAGCGCTGCCTTCGAATCACAGAATATGACCCATTTTCCTGGACGTTCTTGAACGAGATATTGTAAAGCAGCCCTCATAGCAGCAAGCTCTGATGCCGTAGACGTAGTCATATGCGACAACTTAAACTTGATTGTCATTGCTGCAGCCGGAATTACAGCAACACCTGATGAGCTGCTGGACGAGACGGACCCATCAGTGTATATCTGCGTTCGGTCTAAGTACAACTCATGTAATAATAGCAGTGTTGCTTGCTTCAATGCTACTCTGGAGTGATTGCTTTTCTTTTCGATTCCCGAAATTCTAGACGCACTTGTGGCTGGTCGAGGCACCACAAAGGACATGCCATTCTCGAAGCTGGCGTATATCCAGATGGAATGCTGTTTAGGTGCTTGGCTATGACGTCTGAAAACGTAGCACGTGGTCTTCTGGAAGGTAGAAGGGCCAAGTGGTGGTCGGGGACACGGCTAGCATGTCGAATGTGCGCTCTGAGGCAATCCACAACGCTATATGTCCTGACCGGATGGTCTTTGGCAAGCATGATTGTGGCATAAGTAGAAGCGCATCGGGGCAGTCCTAGGCAGATACGCAGTGCCTGACCCTGCAAACTCTCCAATGACTGAGTATTGGATTTGCAAGTGTTAGTCAGTACCGGCAAGCTGTAGCGCAATAGACCCAGAAATAGGGCCTTGTACAGCTGTAGCATGGAGGCCACAGAAGTTTTTCATGCTTTCCTGCACATGAATTTCATTATATGCACAATGGATAGCAGTCTCTTCTTCAAGTACGCTCGATGCGGGCTCCACGAAAGACTTCTGTCTATTATTATGCCCAGGAAACAATGCGTCCGTGCATATTTGACACTCTGTCCATTGATGTAAACAGGGTATGGCGTCATTGGTTTGCGTGTGAACGCCATCAACGCGCACTTCACAGTTGATATAGTTAGGCCTTGTTTCTGAAGGTAGGCTGTTGTGAGGGTTACTGCCCGCTGTATTCGTGCACGCACCTGAGGGCGAGTAACTGCAGCACTCCAGAGGCAAATATCATCGGCGTATATGGATAGGCACACCGACTTTGGCAGAACCTTCACCAGACCAATGAGGGCAACATTGAACAATGTGGGGCTTAAAACACCTCCCTGAGGTACTCCGCAGTAGGTGTAATGTTCAGCAGTTGTACCCTCATATGTTTGCACAAAGAAACACCTGCCAGTTATATAATCTTTTATCCAATGAAACATTCGTCCGCCTATGCCCATTGCTGCGAGAGAAGTGAGGATGGCATCGTGAGCGACATTATCGTATGCACCCTTCACGTCAAGAAAGAGTGCCACTGATATGCACTTGCGACTTTTTTCTTGTTGTACAAATGTCGATAAGTCAAGCACACAGTCGATGGAGGAGCGGCCCCGAAGAAAGCTTGCCATGCAAGAAGAGTATTTGGTGTATCGTTCCAAGTACCACTCGAGACGAAATAGAACCATTCTTTCCATCAATTTTCCGAGGCAGCTTGCGAGGGCAATAGGGCGATACGCTGTGAAGTCCAATGGTGATTTTCCCGATTTCAAAAGTGGTATTAATCGGCTTATTTTCCATTCTCGGGGAACACTGCCGCTGAGCCAGGAGTTGAAGCATATTAAAAGTTCTTTTCTGGCTTTGTGTCCAAGGTGTCCCAACGCACTATAAGTAATATCATCAGGACCTGGCAATGACATGCGCTTAGAAGCGACTAAAGCACCTTCCAGTTCTTCCATGATGAATCGAATGCCCATTTCTGGTAGTCGCGTCTCAGGAACGATCACGGCGTCAATGCTCTCGTTCATAATATTCCTGGCAACTCTCGTGCAAAATTCTTCAGCCACCTCGAGTTCTGTTTTTCCATGATGAAGTGCCAAAGCTTTAAAAGGGTGCCGTTGTTGCGGAGAGGAGCGAAGACCACGAACTGTTCTCCAGATATATGACAGCGGTTTATGAGGGTCTAGAGATTCGCAGAATGTTTTCCAGCGTTCGCTCTCCAGCTTGTAAATGCGTCGTTGAATCTTTTTCTGGAGCCGCCTTGCTTCCCTCAGATCGTAAATTGATTTTGTGCGTCTGTATCGTCGTTTAGCACGCCTTCGTATAGCTCGTAATCTTTCCAGTTAGATGTCAAACTGTGTTATTTTAGACGAAAATGGTAATTTACATTTGGACGCTTGCATAGCTTCCGCTATGGTATTTTCCAGGCTGCAGGCGAGGTCTTTTTGGAAAGCGTCCTCAACACGCGATGTAAACATCGACCAGTCAGTGCCAATTACAACACCGGAAAAAAAATTTTTTATGATACCATCGATCATCACGTAGGTGGGTATGTGATCACTCCCATGAGTCTCAATATCGCAAAACCATTTAACTTTGTGAGAGAAGCACCGTGACACCAATGGGAGGTCAAGGCAACTGCCATACGTGAGACCCCGCAGATACGTGGGGGTACCATCGTTCATGATGGAAAGGTCGTAATCAGAAGCGAATGTAACAATGTTCCGGCCCCTGGCATTCATCCTAGTGCTCCCCCGAAGCATGTGATGGGCGTTGAAGTCACCGGTGATTATCCAAGGCCCATCGGTCCTCATTAGGATGTCTTTTAATCTGTCCCAGTCAAATCGCGATGACGGAGATAGATATTCACCAATAAACGTGAACGAAACTGCATTCTTCTTTACACGAAGACACACGTACTGATTGTCGTCATTTGAACTTATTAGGTGTGAAAGATAAGTCAAGTCTGTGCGAATGTAAACAACTACTTTGCTTCGTTCTTCGCAAGCGGCTGAACAAAAAGCTTCATAACCGGACAATCTATAAGGCGTTGATACGTTTGGTTCACATATGACAAGTATAGGGAATTGATTGGCCCGGACAAATTGGCGAAAGTCCGAGATACGGGACTTCATGCCTCTGGCATTCCACTGAAAAATCGACGCACTTTTAACTTCAGTGCGGAAGATGAGATTTTGTTGAGCCATTGTGCTTATACGAAGTTAGCAAAAACTGGATTCAGTGCATCCAGTAATTGCAGTGCACTCTTAGCAGACGGAGATTCTATGCTGCTCAGTAGCGTGCGAATCGTGGCAATTAATGATTGCACGATTGCAGTCACTTGCCTGTCTTGGTTGGAAAGATCTCGAACTGGGATCGCGGACTGGCCGTCATGAAACTCCTTCGGTTCGCTTGATGCTGCTTCCCTTTGAAGTGCAGGCCACTCTGTCGCAGTTAGGGTATGCTGACTGGCTTTGTCCTTTACAGCCTTTCCCACGGCATGTGGTCTGGGAGGCAAAAGAGGTGGTACTGATGAGGGATCTGGCAAACATGTCGAGGAGGTAGCGGGCGTCCTTGAAGACCGACGTCGACGTGAACGACGCCTTCTGACTTTAGCTGCGGCTTCTCGATGAGATGAGTGATCGCGCACCATCTCCTTCAAAATGGCAATTTCCTTTTGAATCCGCGGGCAGTCCTTCGATGTGGCTTCATAGGATCCATTGCAATTAGAGCATTTCTTGACAGTTGCGACGCACTAATCCGCTTCATGGGGCTCGGC